AAAGTAAAGAGAAAAAAAAAAAAAAGAAAAAACACCTAGAGACAAAAATGCACAGGAGCAACCTCTGAACATTCCAACTCAGAAAACAGGAGCGTATCATATTGTGTACCACACTAGAAGATAAGCTTTTGACACATTACGATCACTAACAAATCTCAGCTCAATATTTTAGAGGTGCCAACTATTTGTTTCTCCGGTATTTTAGCAAAACCTCTTCGTTTTATGTCTGTTGTACCAAAACACAGGCATTTGTATTCAGCCACACTTATTCGCAATATATTACCTTCCTCTTAATTTCTTTTTACCTTTATCTTCTCTTATCTTTTGCTCTTATTTCGGCAAAACTTTTTCCCACACTCACCTTTTAAAATAAACAAATACATATACACACATATATATAGTTTTCTGCTTCTACTATCCCTAGTGTGATAGATTTCAGTCTGATCATTATTTACGTAGCAAACTGTAAACACTAAGGTCAGACTCATTAACAGCAAGAATTAGCATATGCAGTACAATTAGAGAGAATCAATCAGAGAAAGTCTTGTGAAGGAAATAATTAATCGATAAATAGCAGCCATGAGTAATACCTTACTCATTTTACATTAAGAGTAGTAGTACAACCTTACTATAAATCAGACTTAGAAATACAGGCATTGCTCAGACAGTAACATTACATGGTACTTCAAGTAGTCACATAAGTGTAATGCAACATTTCAGAGAGAAAATTGTTAATAAATTGTTTGATGATACACAGCAACATGAATTTACATTTGTCGGCTTCTTTATACCAGCAGCTTCAGAGGTAATCCCTCTAGTGTTTTCAACAAACCCTCATATCACAATAGTATCCAGTGAAAGAAACAATGATAATGAATAGATGCCCCAGGGAAGTGGGGGGAACAACCCAAGAAATCTGTTTTCTGTTTTTCTCTCAGAACAAGAATTTTGGAGACCCTATGTCATACATTATAAAATAAAAAATGCCTTTTGTAAAACCCAAACATAGCCTCTATTAATCTTCCATGTAATAAATAGTAATTTCCACCTTTCCACGTTATCAGCCTCTGCAGAACAGTCCAGGTAGGCTAGAATCTGTTTCTCCAAGTAACCGTCAATGTTCTCCTCTGTCACAGAAGGTGCAGTGAAAACATTCTGGATGGCTGAATTGGAAAATATTGCCTCGTACTTCCCATCAAAAATCAACTGCAATAATGATCCACTTTCTGGGGAAAAAAAGTAAAAAAAGAGAAAAAAGAAATCCGTGTCAATTTTGAAACAACTTTGTCTTACAAGAACTATTCAAATCAAAACATATACCACTCCCCTTTCAAGGAATGAATCTTCATTTACATTGCAGGAAAAGTGCAGTTGCATTGAAAAATAAAGAACAGCAGTAGCAGATGTCACTTTATTCAAAATAAATTTTACAGAACTCTTATTAACGTTACAGTGAAATACAAACTGCCAGATGAATGTAAAACACAAACTTGCACTGAAATCTCAGGGGAAATACATGGATGGCCTTTCAAATATGTACACTACAGTTACTGAAGACAACTTTAATTATCACAAGAGGGTTTTCTTCCTCCAAAACATTTTACATGAGTGTGTTACAGTAAAATCCTATAGATAAGATAATAATTTCACAGACTAGAGAACCCTTTTAGGGAAGACAGGACAAATAAAAATGGTACAATAATTGCAAGAGTTCAGTGAATAAGTTCTCATGTAAAACTGCAGAAACTACTCAGTCCTTCCTTTAAATGCTTAGAATATTCACAAAGAATGGGCAATATGATTTTATCTTTATAAAAGAATTATTTTCCTATAAGTTTACTATCTCAATGAGAAGTCTGCATATGGAGTCAGATTCTTAGGAGTAACTAGTAAGGTGGATTGGGATCCATGAACGTTCCTCCACTGAAGCCTTTCAAGATAAATGGATGTCATGAATTGCTATACATTTAATTCCTGAGAAGCTTTGTTCACAGAAGGTATCTTCCCTTTTTTCTTCAGATATGCTAGAGTGCAATCAATCCAGCAGCTGTTAGAACAACTTCACCATGTTAAAACCTTCTATTCTTGAGCAAAATCAGTATCTGTCTACACTGCAGCTGTGGCTACAACTCATGTAAATGCACTAACTGGTTTTAAACTAGCTGATGCAAGTACTGGTAATGGTGCAGCTGAGGAAATGCAGAGGTCTGCATAGCATAAGTGCCTTAATATTAATCTGTGATTCCAGTTGGGGATTGCAGCTCCCATGCACTCAGTGTTACCATAGCTACACTAATATTAGTGCCTGAGCTAGCCAATTTAATGCTAGCACAGGTATAGATCCACAAAAGCAGCAGCTGTGCAAGGAAGCAAACCAAATACCAACCCGAAGCTCATCCAGCTAAAACAAGTATTCTAAATCTCAGACACATGGGAAGACCGAGCACAGAACCAACTTCAACAGCAGCGATGGATGACTTGGTAGGAATGGGCGACAGAGATACGTTCATTCTAATCTCTGTGGACCAGGCTGTTGACTGCTGTTGGCCACAATTTACTTTTGTTCTTTACAACAATCATCAACCAATGATGTAAGAGATCATTTGTGCTAGATGATTTAACACTTTAAGCTGCATCTGGAAGGGCATATGCAAAAGAATAGTAATGGTTCTGCAGCCCTGCTGACATCATACTCTCACAGAGAACAGAAATAACAAGAAACTTTCTCCAGTCTATGCTTCAGGGAGACTTCTTTCACCAAATGACAACTTCTTTATATTGGATTATAGTTGCTCAGACAGGCGATGCTATAGCTGGTATAATAACTATTGGCTGTGAGGACACTAATGAAGAGCATTGAGGTTTTCTCTTTCCAGTAACACTGTAACATAACTGTAAGCACATAAAATCTGCTTTTGATTCTGTGTTTAGCTTCTTATAAGACACCATACAAATTCAAGATCACAGTCTTTAAATTCAGTTTCAGGATCATCAATAGGAAGGGCCCACGTAAGTGACAACTAAGGATCACAACAAACCCCACCATTTTCTATCTCTACTGCAAGATACCCTTCTTCAACAACAGTCTTCCCCACATCTTACAGCAGCATACTACTTAAAAAAACAAACCAAAAACTAAAAAAACCCCCACACAACACCCAAAACACACCACAAACAGCATACACAACACTCAGTCAAAAGATAAGACAGATCTCAGTCACAACACCTAACACACCTGGACAGTACAATGATTAAGGTTAAATAAGTAACATAAGGAAATAGAGCTGAGTACCTCTGTACAGTTCTTTTCCAAAATTCCTTAAGTGCTTGGGTAAGGATAAATGAGTCTTTCAATATGCTACAACCTCTAAATGTTTTAAACAGCATGGCACATGACTCGAGCACAACTGTATTTCTAGCCTGTCTGAAATATGGAAGTGCCTTTTCATAACAAATGTTACATTTTAAAAGCTGCTGCGTTCCCCTACAGGAAAGCTGGGTCAGTAACAACCTAATCAAGTCCCCTCAAGAGACTACTTTCCATTGTTCCCTCAAGCAACTACGACTAAATAGCTAATAAAATGTAGAACAGGTAGCTCACGCCAGGCTGCTTCTCCTCGTGTTTTGCTACAAGAGCGAGTTTCACATCACTGCCAAATTCAGACAGGTAGTCTTTCACCCGTGGGTCACGACGCAGTCTTAGTCGAAGTGATTAAAAGCCTCCAGAGTGCCGCCATGAAGTGGGCGGTGGGGCGTCTGCCGGCCACCGGGCGCAGGGCAGGGACTGCTGCAGCCGGAACCTCTCCACCTGAAGCCCCGTCGGACCGGCAGG